CCACACCCACACCCTCAAGATGTCACAACCAGAACCCTCAAAATAAGCGATCATGACGAATTTCAAGCTTACTTAAGGAATTTATTAGATGGCATAGTTCAATTCGAAACCGATTATAACTGCTAATTCTTGATGATCTGCGGAGCATTACGTTTTTCTTCGCATAATAGGAGAAATATACTTTCCTGTAAGGCGATTGTCGAAGAACTACCGATCGCAGCTTATATGCGATTTCTTTGTCGTTTTTAGGTAAAGTACAATGCTCTGTCAACTGATCAAGAGGTCAGAGTGAGTCTTATGTTATCTTCTTTTAGATCTATGTTCCACCATTAGAACGTAGAGAAACAAATAGAATAAAGCATGAATGCGAATGGTTCCAACTGGTTCTGTAAGGCATCAATGATTTTGATTCATTCTAATGACTCCACGTGATTATGCTCTCTGGGGTTGAAGGTATAGATCTGAGTAGGGATGAAGAACAGATAGCCACTCACACTCTTACACATACCTACACCCTTTAACACGTCCACACCCACACCCACGTTAAATTAATAGATTACATTGGGAATGATTAATATTAAAAGAAAAGGAAAAAATGAAAGCTAAGCGAGAATGTTATTTAAAATTGATTGATTTAGGAACAAGCGAGACATTTTCATTGAAATGGCTGAATCTCAACCTCCGATCAACATATCAAAATACGAATTGAATTGGGATGATTGGAAGTTATCCGATCAGCATGTGATCACAAAAATGAAAGGTTTAATCGAAGCATTGAAAAGTGAAGAAGTCGATGCTGTTACCATTCTGCCAAAGTTAAAAATTGGTTGGAGTGGTGCGATTCATATCTTCGGTGAAAGTGGTCGTGATCTATGTAAACCCGAAGTAGTCTCGATCTGGCTCTCTTTATTGCTAACTTTGGCATCGTCAAAAGGAGTTACAGGCGCATCCATTGCTTCTTCATTTGTCAAAAGATGTGGTGGTTGTATGGTTTATACAATTTTAACGACGGTTGGTTGCTTTCATTCAGAACAAAATGTGAAGTTGGCATTTGATTTCTTTCGTCATATCTTAGCTGATATCGATGGCAAAATATTAGAATTGGACGAAGTACGCCAACTTTCGTCATTCTTAGTTAAAAACATTCCAGATCAAACCAAAAGTGTAAGGGAGCGTTCTGTATGTTTGACATTACATTGTTACTACTGTATGAGTGGCACACAGAAGACAACTGTCGAAGCAATGTCGAATCTTATTGAAGGACTTGGTGTATTATGTACCTCAAAGTCATTTGTAGCCGACATGAGATCAAATCCGTCTTCTACTATCGAAATACTCAAGCAAAGTATTATGGACAGATCATTCTCGGAAAGGTTTGCCCGCAACAAATGGCCCTAACTACAATAAAATCCTTAATGAAATAACGTATCATAAAAAAAACTGTTTTTCACTTTTTCTTCTATATTTATTCGCGAACTTGATACATAGAAGTATCCATACATTTCTCTTCTTTGAATTTTACTAGACAAAACATCTTGAGGGTGTGAGTGTGGGTGAAAGTATTGATCATATACTGTCTCGCACCCATACCCACAGACTTTTAACATTGAAGAATAAGAAAAAATAGCAGTCATTCACTCATCGCTAGTCACTTTTTCGTTCTGTCTTTACTGTACGTTGTAGATATGAGAGAGAAAAAACGTTACGTTGGCTTTCGCGAACATTTAGTAGATTTTTAATGGAAATAGTTGTTTTTTCTGACCGTATCGCTATTAGTGAGATTGAAAAAGATGCTCTACGATCTGCTACTGTTGAACACAACAAAGAAATATCTTTAACTATTCATTAGTTGTTAAATGAAGCGGATGTGCAGCACACTGTTCGATAGCTTTACTGATCTTTGGATTTTGCAAGAACTCATAATGTAAATAAATTCTTTAAAATGTTTTCAACGAATATATTTATAAAATTCTTCGAGTGACAGTAACTCGCTACGAACCATTTCTATATTTTTTTATGCTAACATTATAAAAGAAAATGCACAACGAAGCAATGCGCGTGCAAAAAAAACAATGTGTTCTGCTCTACAAAATATCATAAAAATGGTTTATGCTGCGAAAATCAACGACATTAACAAGATTCCGCTATTTTGCTACTTTCTAGTGTTTCTTTGTTCACTATATTCAAATATCACTTATTAGATGACAATATAACTTTCAAACATGACCATAATATCGACTACAGAGTAGTGTGTATTCAAGCCAATCCGAGATTGGACGCTGACATATACAATGTACAAAAAACGATAGAACGAAAAAAAGTGATTAGCTGTCTGATTCGACTCTTGACACAAATGAAATTCGACAAATTCACAGCATCATCTTTAAAAACAATAAAATCATTTTATTGTTTGTTATAATAGAGAAAATTTTTATTATTTTCTTATATCTACAGTGACTTCGTTATTTATCAGTTTTATTATAAATTATATAAATAATCCATTTATATTAAAAATGGGAAAAATAACAGTTACTCGCCGAATCACTTTGTGCGTTATTATATATGACGTACCAAGTAATTTTACCTTTTGTTTTCATTATTTATTCGGCCACAACGTGATGACGTGATAGAAAGATGATAATAATATAAAAAACCATGCAATCGTCTATTCTTTATCTAAACCGTGTCTACAACATTTTATATTAAAAAATAAATGGCAAGTGTTAATAAATATGAATATGAAAATGAGCAATCTATTGATAAAAACTTACAATGTATAATATGCAATGAACCATTCATTGATCCTGTTGTAACTCCATGTCATCATTCATTTTGTCGTCAATGCTTAGATAAATGGCTTCAGAATTACAATTCAACATGTCCTACGTGCTGAGAAAAGATACCAAGAAATAGTCCAACACCAATCACTCTTCTTAGTTTTCTTTGCATGCTCAATCAAATTCTTGTCAAGTGTAAATTATGTGGTCAATCCAACATACAACGTGGTAATTTTCAAGATCATATTGATAGAAATTGCCCAAAAACGATTGACAGCTGTTCCAGTACTAACTTATATAATTTATGGAATGAATTACCTGGGGAAATGGAAACTTATTCAAGTACGTGCAAATCGGAGCTATCTGGCTATGAATTAATAGAAAGTAATACAATGACCCCGCGGTTAGGAATGACCGAACATGACTCAATCTTTCACGTACAACAGATAAATAGCAATATAATTATTATGCATGTGAAAAGTGAACGGAATCATCTTTCAAGTCAAGAAATTGCAGCTGCATCTAGAGAAGTAATTATTAATAAAGAATGTACTCATCTCAATCTATTCGATCATCCAATTTTGCTAGAAAATGTATCACTGATAGGTTCGGCATTATCTGCGAATACTTTATTAACAAGCTTAGAACTTGGAAAATGTTCTCTGTATGATTCAGGTGTTCGAATTCTTGTTGAAAGTCTTTCCATGCAGAATTCTCTTAAATGCCTTGATCTTTACGACAATTCTATTACAGATATTGGTGCTGAATATTTAGTTGAAATGTTAAGAACAAATAAATCTTTAACTCAATTGAAATTGGCGTACAATAAAATTAGCAATGAAGGAGTGGAAATATTGGCTCATGTACTCATTCACAATAACTCAACGCTCAAACGTTTGAGTCTTGCAGGAAATAAATTGATAGATGATTCATCTAGTGATTCAATTTGCAATATAATTAGACTTAATTAAGCATTAAAAATGCTCAATGTCGAAGATTGCAATCTTATTTCATATGACCCACCAGTAATTTTACTCTGCAAATTAACTAATTTTCGTCTGAACTTGGAAATATTATTATGATCAATAGTTTGATGTTTAAATATGTATATTTTATGAATTTTTATTCTAAAATAAAATAATGTATACTTAATCTCACATAGAAAGATTATTAATCGAAGAAAACTGGAACGTTCTTTTGATAGAACAATGATTAATGAACCTAGCAATATACTGTGTTGGCCGAAAGTCCTTCACCCACAACCCACCACTTACAAATTCATGGTTACAGTTAGATGATGATGAAGAACCTTTTCGTATTCCGTTATAAACCTTTTCAGTGCTGTCTCCCCCTTTGGGTGCTTTATCTTTTTACCAACTTGATTTACGTAGAATTTGATATCTTTTTCGCTGTTACCTTTTGATATTGTTAAAATATTTACTTTTGATGGTTTTTTTCTTTTCACCTTGCTCTGTATACAAAAACGAACACCTGTTTCTTTTACTATCATAACTATCTTTCAAGAGCACATACAGTTCGACCTTATCGTTGTTTGTTGGAAATTTTTTCTCGTTAATGTTTAGCCAAGTTTAATAAAATAAAAAACACTCTTGACGAGAAAGATGAATAGTATACTCACACCCACACCCTCAAGATGGTATTTTTGATCGGGTAAGATCATTACCGCTTGATAAGGTGTAATAAGCAACTTTTTTCGTTATTCTAAATGTGGCAGATTTTGGTTGGTTCGTATAAGAATCGTGTCGATAAAAAGGCAAAAGAAAAACGAAAAGTATCAGGACAAACCAGATATCATACCCTTCAGGTTAACGAAAATAATTGCTTATCACAACTTTACCAACAGATAGATACAAATATTTTCTAGTTTATCATAGCAATCATGTTTAAGTTCGTATCATTAGTTGTCATCATATTGGCTACAACTACTTTTGCCCAAGAAGATACAAGTGGAGAGAAAGATTTTGTTACATTTATTGCTATTGATCTTGGCACAAGTTATTCAAGTGTTGGTATCTATAAAAATGGTCGTGTAGATATCATTCCTAATGATCATGGGAGTCGTTTAACAGCATCGTATGTTGCATTTACTGCTGAAGGTGAACGTTTAATTGGTGATGCAGCTAAAAATCAATTGACATCAAATCCTGAAAATACTATATTTGATGTTAAACGTCTTATTGGTCGTGAATTTAACGATCCAAGTATTCAATCAGATATTAAAAATCTTCCATTTAATGTTATCAATTATAAATCTAAACCAACAATAGCTATAAATGTTGGATCAGAGCGAAAATATTTCGAACCAGAAGAAATTTGTGCTATGTTAATTGGTAAAATGCGTGAAATTGCTGAAGCCTATCTTGGCTATAAAGTCACACATGCTGTTATTACTGTCCCATCTTATTTTAATAATGCCCAACGTCAAGCTACTAAAGATGCTGCAACAATCTCTGGTCTAGACTACGTGCGTCTAATAAATGAACCAACAGCTGCTGCTATTGCTTATGGTCTCGATAAGAGAGAGGAAGCAAAAGATATTATTGTTTTTGATTTGGGTGGTGGTACATTAAGTCTATCATTATTAACCATTGATAATGGTGTATTTGAAGTTGTTGCAACTAATGGTAATACACATTTAGGTGGTAAAGATTTCGATGAACGCGTTATGGAACATTTCATAGAATTATTTAAAAACAAAACTGATAAAGATATTCGAAAAGATAATCAAGCTGAACAAAAATTACGATGTGAAGTTGAAAAAGCTAAACGAATCTTATCATCTGAAAATCAAACAACCATTGAAATCGCATCATTTTATTATAATGAATATATTAATGAAATATTAACACGTGCAAAATTTGAAGAATTAAATATGGATTTATTTATTTCAACAATAAAATCAATACAAAAAGTTTTAGAAGATGGTGATTTAAAAAAAAAAGATATCGCAGAAGTTGTTCTTGTTGGTGGTTCAACACGTATTCCAAAAATTCAACAATTAGTTAAAGATTTCTTTGATGGAAAAGAACCATCCCGTGATATTAATCCAGATGAAGGTATTGCTTATGGTGCTGCTGTTTACGCTGGTGTTCTATCAGGCGAACAAGATACTGGTGATATCGTTTTACTCGATGTAAATCCATTAACTATGGGCATTGAAATGGATGGTGGTGTGATGACAAAAATTATTCCACGTAATACAGTTATTCCAGTCAAGAAAAGTCAAATTTTATCCACTGTTGCTGACAATCAAACAGTTGTAGAAATTAAAGTATTCGAAGGTGAACATCGAATGACAAAAGACAATCATTTTTTAGGTAAATTTGATCTTACTGATATTGCACTAGGACTGCGAGGTGTACCACAAATTGAAGTTACTTTTGAGATTGATGTCCGTGGTACTCTTAAAGTTACTGCCGAAGATAAAGGAACACGAAATAAAAAGAATCTTGTTATTAATTCCAATTCAAATC